CTACTGAACAACTGAAAAGGCAATGCTACATTAACCTCCTTCTGACGACGATTGTTTTTGATAACACCAAACTGGAGCAAGTGGAACGGCGAATGCTGGCTGGTTTCGACTGCGCGTGTTGAAAAATCGGTCTACAGCTGAATCTAACGAAGACGACGTTAATGAGGTACGGATTGGTTTCTGATGCCCCATTCAAGGGAACGACCGCGACCTTGAATGCTGCTAAGCTATGTATATCTGGTCGGTAAATCAAATATGATGAACGATTTAGCACCAGAGTTGAGCAGGAGGAAGCGAGCGGCTTGGGAAGCCTTCAAGAACATCGAGGGAGTAGCGAAGAAGATGAAGAACACCAGACTCCGTGTCCACCTCTTCGATTCCGCGGTCCTTCCTGCCTTGAGTCATGCCGTGTGAGAGACTTGGAGCTTGGAAAGACAGCATGAGGCAATGCGGTTGGCGTTTATTCAACGCGTCATCGAATGGGCGATACTCGCCTACACGCAGGTGAGAGAGGGAATCCGGAGCTCCGCGCTCCGCAGACGATCGAAGATCAGAGACGCCGCCGTATTTGCCAAGGATTCGAGGATCAGGTGGGCCGAGGCATGACGTCTTGCGCTTCGAGGACGACCGCTGGACCAGAGAGCGACTCGTAAGAGTGGATTCCACGGTGATGCTCAAGCGAAGCCTGATGACCCGCCTATGGCGACTGGTCAGACTTCTTCGTGAAAGCTTGAGACGAATGGTGATGAAGTTTCTGCTGTCCATCAGCAGAGCATGAGTACAATTGCGCACTGCTTTGCAGCGTTTGCAGGGGACGAATGCTGACGTTACTGGCCCCCTCTCGAGGACCTTGATGATCAACGAGCACGGTGATACAGGTGATATACAGGGGGGGGGGCAAAAAAAAGTCACTTCGACCGAGTCACATATCAGCAAAGTTTTCGCTGCCCAGACAGAGGACGTGGATACGAGTACCAGGGCGGAAGATACCCAAGATGTTCCTCTAAGCAGGAGCTGGCTCTCGCCCATCACCTTTCATGTACACCAAAGTATGAAGTCATCTCCAGTCGCAGCCTGACTTGAGAAGACCTTTGGAGTTTATGTCACTTCCGAACAGCTGCGAAACTTCTAGATATGGGGTCACCGCTGGGTACATTGGACCAGTACTCTCGATCTGGATGACCTCCAACATCGAGCAGCTCCGACAACGTCGCTACGGTCTAGGACATCATCTTCACGCAGTCGCCAAGGCGCGGGTTGATGGTATGGACCGGACGTACCTGGAATGGAAAGACCAATATTTTCTTCGTGGACCCGGACTGAAGGTGATGAGCTGGTTACATCGAGCAACTCGAGAAGAATATCCTCCTCACATGTCCTCGAAGGCATTTGGAGAAACTCTCGCCTACTTGGAATGGAAGGGGGCTGAGTACCTAGAGAAGATGGAATATCTAAGTAGGTCACCTGACCTGAATCCCCTCAATTACCCGGTTCGGGAGGAGTTCAATGAGGTGGCCTACGGTGGCGGAGAAATCGGCTTCTCGCCTGATCTAGGCAGCACAACGATGCGGGTCGGCGTGCAGATCTCTCGATGGCGCTCGTCCAGAAGGCTGTGGCGGAGTGTTGTTATAGTATTTAATATGCTCTTTAATATGGTGGTAAAAATGTCCGATCAGAACTTAATAAAGTGTGACTTATGGCACCTCGAAAGTCAATGAAAAAGTGACTTTTCTATGACCTCCCCCCCCGGGTATACAGGGGGGGCCAAAAAAAGTCATTTTGCCTCCATGACTTTCAAGGCGCTATAAGTTACACTTTATTAAATTTTTATCGGACATTTTTACTACCATATTAAAGAGCACAAATACTATAATGATACTCCGCCACAGCCTTCTGGAGGAGCGCCATCGAGAGATTCGGCCGCGCGAAAGTGAGTGGGTACCGGAGTTGAGCGAGATCGTTGATTTCTCCGCCACCGTAGACCACCCTAATGAACTCCGCCCGAACTGGTAATTGAGTGGTTCAGGTCAGGGGACATACTTTAATATTATATCTTCTTCAGGTACGAAACGCCCTTCCATTCGAAGTAGGCGGGAGTTTTTCCAAAACCCTTTGATTCCATGTGGTGGCACCCAAACCTGTAGCAGCACAAGGTCTCCAAGAAGGTACGGGCGACCACATGTAGGAGTATTCTTCTCGAGTACTGTGAGTGTAACCGCCAGCGAATCACCTTCCGTTTGGGTCGTTAGTCAAGAAAATATCGGTCTTTCCCTTTCCAGAGTACCCGGTCTACATCAACCCGCGCACTTGGGTGAATGGGGTGAAGATGATGTCCTGGACCGTAGCGACGTTGCCGTAGCTGCTCGATGTGGGAGGTCTTGCAGATAAGAGTACTGACCTCCAGGTAGCTATCTGTGGATGACTTCATTCAAGAAGTTTCGCAGCTGTTTGGAGGCGACGTGAATTCCAAAGGTGTTCTCCAGTCAGGCCGCGACTGGAGATGAGCTTTCTGTTTTTGGCGTACGTGAAGCGATTGGGCGGCCAGCAGGTTTGCTCCAGCTTTAGCAGAAGAATCTTGGGTAGTCTCTCCACTCTGGACTCATATCCACTTCCCACTGTCTTGCCGGGCTGCGAAATTGTGATATGTGCCGTCAGGCCGAAATGACTTTTTTTTTTGGCCCCCTGTATATCTGGAGCCATTTCGCCAGGCCCAGAAGACGATTACAATAATCGAGGAATGCATCCCATACATACCCTTTCTCTAAAACTCCGTGTGAACTTCGACATCCAATAACAGCTCTGTCGTCGTACACTACGCTCCCCTCCCCATATGCGACCATTTTCATCAAACTTTCGTCAGAATCGTCCATGACTAGACATTTCACTACCATTCCATCGGTCATTGTCAGAATGGTAACATCAAGCAAGTACCGACAAATCATAGTACGTGGATAGTAGAATAGGGTTGGGTAATTGCTCGGTGTTTTTGCTTCATCGAGTAATCAGGCCAGAGTCAGCCCAAATTGAAAAACCAAACGGTAATGGTTAGTCCTATCCTACACGCGCCCAGTTGGAACTCACCAAGCAAAGCATAAGTTCTCAGAATCCAAATCGTTCACTCATTCACTCCCCCATGTGCAAATGTATGATAGGTGCGTAGAGTTCTGCTTTAGATCCTAGTTCTCAAGATCGTGCAGATCTAGAGCGCTCTGTCATACATTTGCACTGGGGTGAATGTAGCTGGCTTTCTCTAGTAGCGGACAATGTAGCTGGCTTTCTCTAGTAGCGGACAACATAATGAAAAGAGGCGATGGATCATTCATGAGTCCTGCACACAAAGAGCCGCCCATGATGCTGCATCTTCATTAGAACTGTGGACCAGAGACCATTACTTAAAGGCAGTTGCACGATAAAATTCTCCAAGTGCGACAGGACTCAATACTCTGGCAGAATAGACATTCCACGATCCCCGGGCAGGCGCTGCACATAGCGGTTTCCCGAGGAAAGTGCCCTCGTATTAAGGGCCCATAGCAGGCCACAAACTTCACGTCCAAAAGCCGCCAAGCCGCCCGCCCGCTAAATGCACGAACCGTTCTTGCATGATCTATTATATTCATTTGCTAAGGCAAATTAGGGCAGCGAATGGATTTGGTTGAATGCGCCGTAGATCTGATGCCATACATGAGGTACACATATGCAGCCGTATCTTCGGTAGCGGTGATTGGTAAGATGCCTACGGGAAACTCGTCCGAAATCGATTTACAAGTCACTGAGAACGGAGGCTTTTTCTTCGCAGGATTTTGACCGTTTCACTCCGTTCTTTCGCCATTTCCCCACTATACAGCGCCCTACTAGCATTTTAGGCTAAGTAGGAAACCATCGTGCCAACTGCCTTTAACGTTTGGAGCGCATGGTTATGATCTAAACTTTGGGGCGAACGGCGGCGTTCTTCGTTCAGGCTAGAAAAGTATGGATATCGATCTAGCGTTTTGAGCGTACGCCAGCGTTTCGGCCGCTGCCCGCGAAAAGTTCAAAACTACCCGCAAAACACTCAAAATGCAGGCGTACGCTGAAAAGGCTAGATTAGTTCTATACTTTCCTAGTCGCTTAAAACACTGTTGTACGCTAGCATACGCTTGGAGGACCCGTCTCAGGGCACTTGTCAACCGGGAAGCCTCTCTTCTCTTTCCTTTTTCTTCCTCCTTCCTTCTTTTCCTTCCTCCCTTCTCTGATCCCTCCTCCTTTACCTTCTCCCTTCAACTACTGGACTGGTAGATGCCTCGTGAAAATACCCCTGGACCCTCGCAGCGAGAGCACGTCTGGTTGACAAGAGCCCCGTCACCGTATTGAAGCTATAGTAAAACGAATCCCCACCTTTTCCTATGTTGAGGCTATTGACAACAGCTTTGTTCAAAAAATCCGTTTTTCTTGCCCATCGCTTCGTTAGTATGTAGCCCGTCATGGATTTGACAGGTACCGCATACTGAGAGAAAAATCACAATTATTTGACTTTCCATTAAGAATCCTTCCTTATGAGAAACACTGCCAATCATGAAGTGAAACATTTACTAATATATAGTAATCTCACTTGATTAGCGATGTCGTTTATAGCAAGAGTGAAAAATTTCCGTAAGTATTTTGCCATACAAAACCTTAACAGAAATTGAAATCATCAAAGAACAAATTTGCAGAAAAGGAAAATAAATTCAGGGAAAACCGCACACTTGGCCGGAATCTGATCACAATCAAATAAAATCTTTTCATAACGATATGATGAGAACAGATGATGAACAGATGAAATAAATAAAATCTCAGACAACAATAAAACCCATAGAAGTCCATTCTGCTTAGCTACCAAGATGCTGCACGACCCAATCACACCATTAACATAGAGCATATCACAATCGAAAAGAATTATACATGAAAAAATCACCAAAAAAATAACAACGACAAGTCTTGTAAACAACAACATAAGCTATCAGAAGGCAACGGTTTTTACGTTATGCAGTGTATTTTTTCTCAGTCGTTGCACCAGATGACCACGGGAACCTGAAATCTCAAAAATAGCCCGAGAAGTCAGGAAACTGATGCTGTCAGAAGAGAGCTGAATGATTGAACTCGCCGTCTTGATCGCGCTCAGACTTCACCATCGGAGCGCTTGAGCGATAAAAAGTCGAGCCATCTGGTCGCGAAGTCTGAACGCGACCTCACTAGTTCTTCAGAATTATAGTTTGAGATAATTTGAAGCGATTACGTTGCTCACTTCATCTCCACAGAACCCTTTGATCACCCCAAGAAAGACGTCATTTCGAATATTCATTATCAAAGCATACTGAATCACCAACACGTCACAGATATACAAGTAATCACAGATAGTTAAGGTGCTTTAGCGAATGGTGCAAAGGTGACAGATCGCAACTAATGACCTAGAATAGACAAAAACACACCAAGGATGACAAATAACAAACAATTTAAAATTTGATGCTTTAGTTCCCCTTAAGCCCCGCCTTTGCTACTAAAGCTTGCCTTGCAAGCGAAAGTTCCAAGGTAACGGGTACCTGAGACCAGAGCAGTCGTAATGGGACGAGAATGGCGACCAGTTCATGAATTTATTAGGCAGGCGCATAATATCAAATTGATATTAGCAAGCATAATATCAGCTAAGTCCTCGAGGGAGGAAAAGTAGAAAAAAAATCATAGAGATCGCCCAAAGTAAGGACTCCCTGGCAGCGTCACTTAACCATCAGAACAGCCTTGCTCGTTTTATGCCAGCAAAACGATATCCTGCCGCTTTTGATTCACTGCTTGTTTTTTCGCGTTCTCCAATGCTTATATCATCTAACAGTGAAAAAAAAACGAAAAACATGGTCCAAAAACTGAACTCGTGACAGAAAATAGCCTTTGAGTTTTGGTGGGCGGGACAACTAGGGAGGCGTCAGAACTGCCACTTATGAGGGCCGCAGCACCTTCGTCACTTACTGAGAGGCTTCGAAAAGGAACAATATCAGAGACAGCTGAGCAGACTTCTTGAAAAGGAAGGAGGCCCATGAATTGGTTGAGCGCGAGGACTCCTTTCAAGCTAGATTTGAAATCACGCCACTTGAATATGGGCTCTTCTGATTCATCTGCAGAACACCTTCAAGACCGGAGGTCATAAATATCAAGAGAAATCGCTTTGTTACACTAAGCAGCGATCATACTTTGCGTCAGCGCACGCCAGCGTTCTGAGCGTTACCAGCGTGCCTCGGTGCCAGTGACTAAGTTTGTATACACTTAGTAAAGCGTACACCGGTGCATGCCAGCGTCTGGACAGCTCGCTGGTTGACAATAGCGTTTAACGCGCCACACGCTGGCGTACGGCAGGTTTCAAGCGCCTCGAGTGACGCAGACTGACGCGTGAAGCTGATGAAAGTATGAACGCTACCATACACTGGAAAAAAGTGCGAGTGCATGCGTTGAGATTAGCATCACGAGGTGCAGCGGACTTTCTGCCCTTTAATCACATTAAATGACATGCACGTTGACCCGTATTCTGGGCGAATATGATGTGGACAAATTTCTTATGTTACAGCACCGGTAGAAAGAATGAAAGACAAAACAAATGCAAAAATAGACGAAATTCACATTTTGTAGTCGCTGTGGTAGTAGAAAGTCTTCCAAAACTTGGATCGATTCCGTCGATATTTACAATAGGCAAGAACAATTACAATACCAATCACTGTCAACCATACAAAGAAGAACTGTGAACGGCCGTTCGAAGCCAGGTTGTCTGAAATACAACCACATAAAGTGAAGTTCGAAATTCTTTGACCATTAATTGCACCGTGTACGGTGAGAAGCGAACTCTGATAATTTTATTGAATCTCATTCATCTGCCCAATCATTACTGCTCGATTATGGATAGCGGATGTGATTCAGGAGATGAATATGCGGCTGTGTGGCGAAAAGAGGCGTTGCCAGTGTCGCGTGCGAGGTAGCACCAGGACCCAGTCCACTGAACGTTACAAGGCTGCATTGGGTCCATTCAACTAGCTAGAACTCTGCCTGCAAGTGCGCGATGTCGCGAGTGGAATGTCCTGGGGCACATCCAAAGTGAACTGTGGGCTTAAAGGCACGCTCCGGGTTCAAGAATGAGTTATGCGGCTCGTATACTAATGGCAAAATGGTAACTAACAGTAGTGAAGGAAAAAAGTAGAAAAACCCGCTGGAAACACCCAATGTGAGAACCCCATGCTGAACCGAGCTTGTACGTAAATAAAACGAAGAGAGGGCGTGGTTAGGCGAGTTCTTACTCGTTAATGCCAGCTCTTTCATCTCATCAACTCACTCTCACCATTTGTAATGAAGAGAGTAGTGGGTCAACCGCACCATCAGGTAGCAGTAAAAAAAATGAAAGTTGGGCGCTGCCATGGCCAGCGCGGAGCCACGGCTTCGTTGCCAGCGGATCGCGCTTCCCTCACGTATTTTTGAGCTGCAAAAGTAGAGTATCTTCTACGCTTGCGGATAGGACCACTACGACCAAGGAGGGCGTCTCAAATGAAAGCGGGACTTGCTTTTGTGTATGATAAGGTACCTCTATGAGATCCCTATGCAGAAATCGCAACGAAATTTCGTCTGAAGATGGAATGAGCTTACCATAACCTTCGATGTCTTTCCATTCCCTCTGTGGACTAGCATCCAGCACCTTTCGTAATCGTTCTTCCGTTTCTTCCAATTTATCAACCTGATGAGAAATATGTACACCACCGACAGTAGGATAACATATGCAACAAACGTTACCTTTTTGGCGTTAACAGCGAATTTCGGATTGAGGTGACGAGCTCCCACACCCTGAAGCTTTCCATCCATATACTCGTTCATTTTGTATTCAGGTGGAGCCTAATATCAGATCTTTTTGCTTAACAGCCAAACTCTATATGCAGCTAACCCGAAGCGTTACGAGCTTCCGACACAAAAGTTATTATTATAACTTAAACGTACAACTAGCAATTGCAATCAATGGACACTGGGATCCACGCCTTAAATGCCTATTGGGCAAAGTAAACGTTGACAAAATAGTCGAAAAAGCCCTAACTGAGGCCCTAGCACTGGGGAAATGTCCAACGAATGAGACAGTCAGCATGAACCTAGACGAACGCAAAAAGGTCCCACAGCAAAGTGAAGGCAGCATGTCATATATTTGGTCAGATACATCGGATCGCTGATATGTCTCATCTCTAAAGTCCCTAGAACCCTTTTTTACAATCCAAAGCTAGCTCGAACAAAGGATGTTGAGTTCAGCACCACTGAGCTTAACCCCCCCCCCCCCACATCTCTCTCAGTGATTGTAGGCTCATTAGAATCTTCATGAAATCATCTGCATGTGCTATACACGCAGCAGCACTAGTTTACAACGTACCTGTACAGAGTCTTGCCGAATGTCGCTGTAGTAGCTCAACATGAATTTGAAAATCTCCTTTTCATCAAACGAACCGGAGGAATCATAACATTGGGAACATACAACCTAAGAAAGGGAACTGGTAAAACGTAGCAATAATCCTGGAAGGCAGTGGGCAACTGGATGAGCTCTTCGGAGAAGAATAGAAAGCCGGTATAAAAAAAGGAGAACTGCAATAAAATGTAACATACTGATGGAGGGAACTGTCGCTTAGGGAAACGGGGATCGTCACTTCGGGAACCGGAAAGGCGCGTGTTGACGAAGTTATGAACTCGCCAGAACCACATTACCATTTCTTCTGCAAAGAGTCGCTCACACAATGAAGATTTTGAAGAGAGTGCAGGATGAAGAAAAATGTGAAACAATGAAAATGTGATGTGAAACAATGAAAATGTGTGAAAGAATAAATTTTTTCTTGTAAAATGCCGAAAAAACTTTTCAGCACCTCTCGTAGACACTTGCAGCATGTGGTGCTTCTTTGTTTCTTTGTCGAAATTCTTTGCACATTCAGCACAGCTCAAGAAATGGAAAATAAATTGATGGAAAGGCTCCATTACATCGTTCACTGGATTGAATAAAGGATCTGAAAAAATATGTAGCGTTTGAGTGGGCTTCCAATCCCGCTCTCAGCATTCACAAGCAACAAAACAAAGAAATTCTGTCTCAAAACTTACTATTTGCCTCTGTTTTGTACGCCTCGACAGTGATCGCATGGGCAGTCGTCCACAGTCCACATGTATAGCCCCTCAAATTGGGTTTTGAACCAATGCAGGCAATCCATTCCACTTTCTCCGGGAGAGGATTGCCAAGGTCGAGCTGAATTAGAAAGCAGAATCAAGAGCACGTTGGACCGACCAATAATCCTTGTACATTATGTTTCATAATGGTTATTCATCTCTACCGCGGTATCAGAGAGATCATTTTATAATACTTTATAATACCTCGAATGGAGGAGAACGCAGCTTAAGGACTCATCCCGCAATTACAATCTGTGAACTCTGGAGTCCAAATGTGTATTCAAGGATGCTAATTACCAGCGGAGAAAAAAAACAGTTAAACCTCCAGAGCAACCCTAAGTAATTTCCCTGAGTCGGATGAGATTTGAAAACAAAGAACAGGGACGAGAGAACAGGAAGGCCAAGTGGAATACGAAGAAAACGACAAAAGCTGGTCCTACACAGAATGAGCGGGTAAAACCTTTGTTCATTGACATCGGAACCCGAGCATATCTCGTCTCTCTAATTGTAAGGGTCAGGAATCTTCTAACGGTGGCGTAACACTGGCTTATGGCAACAGGTTCGTGCTTGTCATTCTCAGGGGAGCCGTGGAAGCGGGACAACCTCAGAGATGCGGAACGGAACACTGTACCAGGAAGGGATACTGCGAAGAGGGTGACAGTGAAATGGGAATCGTAGGCGCTTTCGCATACGATATAGCTTACACGACTTTTGACTTGTCGATGTACATGTGAATGTTTCTATCCCCATCTCCTCCTCCCCCAATTGTGTTTTGCACGATTTTTCGTGCAAAACACAGTTGGGGGAGGGGGAGATGGGGATAGATTTTTCGGTTCCGGATGAACAGAAAGATTAGTCGGTCTAGGCGAGTGTCGGAAGCTACGACTGATAAGGGATACTTGCCACTTTATCTCCTGCGCCCGTACCTGCAATGCTGCACCTATACTATTGAGAACAACTCCACTTTTCATGCCTTCCCAAAGTAAAGACTCCTATCACATAAAAATAGCGCTAAGCCTTTGAAGGAAAAGTGTAGAAACAAAAAATCTCAAGGAAAAGGAAGCTTTCTCACTTGAATTTCCTCGAGCTTTTTAGTCCAATCGTCAACTAGAAGACTATCGTCCACAGTCCAGATCCACTCATTCATTCGATAGAGAAGTCGCCGCATTGGAGTGGTACCAGGTGCATACTTAAAACGTAG